GTCGTCGCTCACATCACGAACTAACACAATCAAAGTAGATTGTGTTAGTTCGTGAAATCACAGTAGCGCGTCAAAACGAGCGCGTATTGGTTGTCAAGCAATTTTGTATTCTTTACCACACAAAAAGTCCTTAACGACAATAGCGCGTATTTTGACGCGCTTTTTTGATTTCACGAACTAACACAATTGAATTTAATTGTGTTAGTTCGTGATGTGAGCGACGAAGTATTGCTCTATACAAAGAAAGCTTGTTTAATTATTAAAAATTGTACAAAGAGTCTTTGAAATCGGAGCTTTGATTGAACGTTTGAAAATTCTGATTTTAGAGGTTTTGTGTATGCCTATAGTATAGGCATACACAAAACCTCAAAATTTGGAGGTTTTTGGCGGTGGGCGCAGATATATTCGGATTTCGGAGTAACAAACTCCTCCTCTATCAAGTATTAAAGAATTAGTAACAAAATCACGAAAAAGCATTAAAGACAATTGCAGTATGGAGCAGTTTAGCACTGTGTTTGACCATATCCATATTGGCTATTGTCGAGCATGTAAAAAATGAGTAACAAAATCACAAAAAAAGCAAGTGTGGTATAAAACAATTTAGCACTGAGGTTGATTATATCCATGTTCACCCAGGTTGTCTTTATATCACTTTTATGTTATTATGTTACTTTTATGTAAAAAAAAATATTTTTTGACAATGTTGAGTCTTAGTAGATTATATTCAAAGATTCTTTAAAACTTTTTTTTCGTTAGCGCCAAAGTGACAATGCAGAAATTTAGCATAGGCCTAGAGTTTTATTTGCCGTATATTGAATCGATTAGTTTTAGTGATAAGAAATATTCTATAAATACTGCTACCCCCCACAACAGTCTTTGTGAGTTTTATGATTGAACACAAAATAATAATTAGGAAGTTGGACGAGAGGGAGGGGTGGTTTGTCATAATTTGAGCCACGTTTTACACTCCAATAATATGAAAAGGTATATTAAGCGGTGTTACAAGCTGCTTCATATGATCGAGATTTTTAAAATGCATCCGGTATCTAAATGGAAAGATGAAAGCCAGTCAGTCAAAGTATGAATAGGGAGCTCATTTGGAACATAATATTGAAAACCGCTTCTGGTATTGGAAGAAAATTTGGAATCAGTGTCGATATTAGAAGTAAATTCATTGAGAGTATTCATAAAGGGAGAGAAATATAAGTAGGATAATTGGTAAAAATTTTAAGTGCTGTTTCATGAGCTACAATCCAAATTGAACTTAACACACAAGTTACATAAAAATAAAAGTTTATTTCCTACGAAAAGAAACAGAAAAAACAGAAAACCCATAAAACAGCAAACGGCCACATAATGCAAAACTATTTAAAATTAAAACGGTACAGTAGAGGAAATCCGATCAGAATGACAAAATAAACTAAGCATCCACTGAAGGAATCCCAATATCTGCAAACAGTTATTTATTTATTTTATTTATTTATTTTTTTTTTGGGTGGGGGGTGAGGAGAGAGGGAATTTGTTAGTCATTCGTTAACATGCTTGACTCTAGCCAAATTGGATTTAGTAAAACACAGTGCGTTTTTACCACATTTTTTTATGAGGGGGTGATTGTATTGCTCATTGTTTAACGTGCTTTACTCTAGTCAATATGGATATATTCAACCTCAATGCTAATTACTTTATACTACAATTTTTTAATGTTTTTTGTGGGATTTTTTTTATTCATTCTTTAAAATGCAATTGATATAGTCAACATTAAACGTTTATACCAATATTGTTTTAAATGTATATTATTTATTTATTTATTTACTTACTTAAATGTATTTATTTATTCATTCATTCATTCATTTGTGATTTTCTTACTTTAATCTGATTCGATAAAAAAAAAAAACATAGAATTCTTTTGATTGAGATTCCCTAGCTTCTGAAAAAATGTGTGGCATAGCGCCATCACATGGTCTGTTATAATAGACTCATCAGTTCCAGGCATCTTTTTACATTTGATTTGTGTAATAATAAAAATAATAATTTCTATTAAAAAAAACGAAAGTAAACATTTTTTTTATATCAATTTACGTTATTTCATATATTTAAACTGTGGTTTAATGCCAAAATAATCAATAAATATCGGCGATTGGTGAAAAATGTATTTAATATAGGGGCCTAGTAAAGTCAAACATAAGTGACCGACCCGTTTGGTATAATACCTCACTTTATATACTAGCCTGGGTTCCAGGCCCTAATTTTAGGTTACTCACTCTTTATTGCACTTAGTGCGCGCCATACCTAATTTAATTGGCGTCCCATACTCGATTTCTTTTTTTTCGAATTAGGGCCTGGGCAAACGATTCATGCGTGCAATTTCCCACATCAAATTTGATGTGGGATATCGTATGCATGACTGATTTTGTAAATCACGTGATTGGCTAACTTCATGCATATTAATCATCTTGGTAAATTTTCAAAATTGAAGATGCGGATGTCTCGACTAGAACAAGCTAACCAGCTCCCTTTTGGCTACCTATACTTGAATAAAAATAGTTAGTATATAGTTCTGGCCTGCTGAGAACGACATGGACCGATAACCGTTGGCTATATACTTAGGAAACTTGCTCACCGCTAGCTGCTACACAGATTAGTAGAATATTGTTAAAAAGGTAGGCCTCTGTAAGTTAGAACTTAAAAATACGCCAAGCCTCTACTAGACTCTAGGCTAGGCCTACTACTCAGGCGAGGCCTGAGCCATCCTCCTGGAAAGTTAAAGTTTTGTTGTATTTGTATGGTATGCCGTCTAGGCTTAATTGTTTTTGCCATTGCCAAAATTAGTCTTAATAGGGTCTATTCTAAATATTTTAGGCCCGTTTTATTAGGGAGGACTATTTAAATTTAGTCATGCCTAACTAGTCGACGCGAGCGGCGAGTGACTCAGTTTCGTGGCTTCAAAAATATGAACATTTGATTGGTTGAAATTGTTTATTTCGGTCCGCCCATTTATCCAAATACGGAATATAAGATTACGTCATTCTTTTGGCATCCTGGTGCCTGACTTCAGTGTTTTACACATGGAGAAAATAAAATATTTTTATTTTATTTTCTCCATGGTTTTACCACAAGTCGCTTATTCCGTCTATCTCTAAATTAACTTTCTCGTTGGTGGCGCTGTCCAGAATGAGAAAAATAATTTAAAAAAATAAGAGACTTGTGGCAAGTCTATTTATATACCTGTTATTTTTTATTATTTTTCTCATTCTGGACAGCGCCACCAACGAGAAATTTAATTTAGAGGCGAGAATGGGACGCCACTTAAATTAGGCATTGTGCGCAGTAAGTACAATAAAGAGTTAGTAACCTAAAACTAGGGCCTGGAACCCAGGCTAAGTACGCCACGAAAGTAAAACAGTGGCGAAAACTGGAATTCGAAATAGAAACCACCTCAGCCCCAACCTAGGGGATTTTTTTAAATGTTTATGGCACTTCTAGCGGGAAATGACACTGTCAGACTCAAAATGTTAAGGTAATTTGATCCCCCATTTAATTTGTAAAATTTAGAGCGACTCATTGTTGGTATTCCAACAATAAGATTATGGATAGAAGATGATTCGCCAAATTACGTTATATTCGATCTTAGAATTCAATATAAACAGGAGGGGAGGCGGCGCAGACAGTAAATTATACAGAGGGGATTTGCGCTACCTCGGTCCCATGGGTGGGGCTGAGGTACGAGTGTATGGAGCACTTTTAGATGGCCGGAAATGACACACCAGACTCAAAATTTGAATGTAATATTCTGCTGTCCCCCATTTTACTTTTAATTTTGTAAAATTCAGGGCTCCGTTCTGATTTTTAAAAATTATTTGATATCCAGCTAAAAGCAATACAGTACAAGAGAAAATATGGAAACAGGTTGTACATTACCGAAGGATTGCCACTATGAAGTGGCTCTACTATACTAAACATCTTTACATAAAGAATACATAAAAAAAACTAATTTAAAAGATTCTATCAGATCACGCATAATATTGGAATTAAAATTAATGCCAGTTAAAACAGTGAACGAAGTCATGCTTGTCAAAGGTATTTAATTATTGCCAAGGCATGATCACACTACTGCAAGACAATTAAGAAAAAATAATGGAATCATGAAAAAGTTATTCTAATAATCTAGCGGATCCAAGAATTTGTTCGCGGACCCCATGCGGACCCCTATGACTTGGCGGACCCCAAATTATTTTCGCGGACCCGGCCTAAGGTTGGGAACCACTGATACATTGAATGAGGACTTGTCACATTACAAAAGCGACACATTTGAGGATGCATTATTCAAATTACATTAGTACTGTTCCGGCCATACAGTACAGTGAAATCAGCCCACGGATCATCATGTTCAGTGAAACATGTCCGTTGCAATTTTTTTGGCGGCTTTTGCACGCGCATGGAAACTTGCGAATTTTTTTAAGCACATTGTTATAGAAAGATTTTTTTTTTTCTTCTTTTTTTTGGTTCTAGTTTTAGCTGGTATTTGGGTCATTCATGCTTGCGCGGCTTACGTGATTGATTTAATAATTTTAATGGATTTGACAATAATTCCACAGTTTCTGGTTTATCAAACTCATTTGTATTTCATGTGATCTCCATGGAAGTTCCATGGATAATAATCCATGTTTATGCAGATATCTTTATTTATTAGAATGTGAAAATTGTTTTTCTATATTATTATCATTTTTTTTTCTTGTAACACACGCAGTTTGTATGCATAAGAGAATGATTTGATAGGATGTGCTGTACGCTCCTCTCATATGCTACACAGGGAGAGATTATGTTTTTATTTGGTTGGCATCGTACGCTATTCGTAGGCTGCTTTACTGAATGCTTTCTTTTTGAGAATTATTTGCTGAATTATTTGTGATTTTTTTTTTTTTTTGCAACATACGCTATTCGTATGCTGCACTATTGAATGATTTATTTATGATGGTTTGCACCGTATGCTCTTCGTATGCTACAATCTCGACGTACAAATTAATGTCGTTAAGATGGGGGTAGGGGAAATAAATTTATGTTTTTGGTCACTTTTACATATACTGTGGATATGAAATGTAACAACAACTTGGCTAAATAGTTACTCATCACTCTCATTAAAAAAATTGATCGGAATGATGACGTCATCATGACAAATTCCAAGATGGCGTCCATTATGGTGGGAAAAACTACCGGTATGTTTTTAAGGATCGGGGTATGGGAAACATGTTTATATTTTTAGTCACTTTTATTTTTTTTTTCTATAACTGTGAAAACTGACAGGACCTTATTTAAATATTTACCCATTATAGTCGTTTAGTAGAGGACCAAGGGGTCTGGTGGGTCCAAACACAGGCCGACTAGACCCTCGGAATAAACATCCCTTGGCTTATGGGAGAGTTTTTTTTTATAAGCTTCGTATGGCCCAAAATTTTGCTTTTAAGCTAAAATATTAGGGATTGGCAATAAAAATAATATGTATAAGCAAATCATTATTTGTGATGTGGCGACCTCGTCGTAGCATCGGACGATGGGAGTCTATGCCTGTCTGACGGGAATTCCCCACCTCCCAAGCAAATTGGAATGATGACATCAACACACCAAATTCCAAGACTACGACAATCAAAATTAAAGGAAATGTTTACCAATTTAAAATTAATTTTTCTACACTACATTTTTCTTCATCATCATTACTATACTATTATGTTGTTACTCTATAATATTATTAATATAGTATATCATAAGAATAATGATATACTATATTAATAATATTATTAATATAGTATATCATTATTCTTATACGTTTAAAAAATTTATAGTTTATAATTCACATTAATATTAGCGTTATTACTGTTATTCTTACTATACTGATGTCATTATTATTATCATCATCATCATCTTCCTCATTGTCATCCCCATCCTCATTATAATCCCCATTATAAGGAGGATGTTGATGATGAGGAGGAGAAGAAGAAAGATGATGAGGATGATGGTAAGGAAGAAGATGATGGTGATTATGATTGATGATAAAGGTTGTGATGATGGTGATGAGAATGATAGAAAATGATTGGTGAGAATGATGATGATGATGAATGATGAGAATCATGCCTCTCATCCTCACCCTCGTCCTCATCTTCATTCTCGTCCTCCTCATCATCACCATCAATGATGATGGTGACTGATGATGAAGAGGATAATGATGAAAATGATGATGGTAATGATGACGATGATGATAATGACAGTAATGAGGATTATGATGAGGATGATGATAATAACGAGGATGATGGTAATGATGATTATGATTATGGTGATGAAGATAAGAATGATGATGAGGAGGATGCAGTTGTTGAGGAGAAAGAAGATGATGAGGTAGATGATGATTGATGATGAATGATGATGAGGAAGAAAATGATGCTAATAAGGAGGGTGAGGATAATGATGATAATAAGGAGAAGGATTAGGATGATGAGTTTCATGATGATGAAGATAAGGATGATAATGATTATGATTGATGATAATGGTTGTTGATGAGGATGATCATGATAATGATGAGGATGATTGATGAGAATGATGTCAATGAGGTTAATGATGACGAATGATGAGAAGCATCATCTCTGCCCCTTATCCTCATCTTCATTCTTGTCGTCCTCCTCTTCATCATCATCCTCATGATGAGGATGATGACTGATAATGATGATTAATAAGGATGATGATGATGATGTGGTTGATGATGATGAGGACAAGGATGATGATGATGATGATGATGATAGATGATAGATGATGATTATAATGAGGATGATAACGACAATGATGATGATGATGATGATAATGAGGACTATGATGATGAATGAGTGATGATGATAAGGAGGATAAGGATGAGGTTGAGGATGATGAGGATAAGGATGATGATGGATGAAGATGATTAGTAGGATGAAGTTGGTGGTGATGATGAAAACGATTATTGGTGAGGATGGTGATGAGGGTGACGATGATGAATAAGGATCAATGCCATAGCCAAGATTTTTAAACGGTGTGGGACAATATCAGGGTGGATCCACTTTACGTGTAAATTCAAACAATGTGGACCCATTTTACGCAAAAATATGAAATATCTGGACCCATTTTCTTAAAATTTACCCATTTTTAGCTAAATATGAGAAATCTGGATCCATTTCATGCATAAAATTACATAATTTGGACCCATTTTTTATGGACCCATTGGAAAAATGGTGTGGGACTGTTCCAACTGTGCCAATAACTCTACACCATTGATGATGACGAGGATGATGATGGATGAGGATAAATATGATGATGAGGATGATGAAGAAAATGATGAAGATACTACACTTGAAGGTATGGAGGATTACGATTTTACTGCATTTAACTCCAAGGGTCTACACCATATCCGTATTAATATAAGATCTTTGCCCCCAAAGATTGAAGAACTTCGGTTTCTGGCTACTAAAACAAATGCAACCACTATCTCTGTGACTGAAACTTGGTTGGATCATTCCGTTACTGACAACGAGATTCATATAGATGGATACAATCTCTTCAGAAAAGATCGCAATCGCGAAGGTGGCGGAGTGTGTATATACACACACACATCAACATAGCTGTCACACGACGCGAGGACTTGGAA